ATCATGCTAAAACATGTGCTCCAAAGCACTGAAACTTCATTGTCCCCTCCAAGGCACACTGTGTCCAGAACCATGTTATTTGCCTGATGTGACTTCCTGTGGGGAAACACAGAGCATTTACTAGATGGTGGCTGAGAAAAATATTTCCTTTTCTGTGGAAAGGCATTTCCTCTTCTAACACTGCTTAATTTCAGTAATTGTCCCTGCTACAGCTGACAACTCTATAGCTCTGTAAAAGCAAAATATTTTGGTTCCACAAAAATACAACCTGGAAGCTTTCTAAAACAGGAAAAGAAAAATAGGTCCATATGGATACAATAAAATTCTCTCTTAACGAAACAAAGGTTAGGATTTGTCAGAGTGAAGCAGAGCGTTAGGACCGCAACAATTACTGCAAAATGAGGAGAGGGAAGGGAACCTAACTACTTGAAAGGATTATCTTTTTTTCCTGTAAATACAGAGCCCTTAATTGCACTAGGTCTGTGCTTCCTTCTGCACTCAGAATCACAGCTCTGCCAGTGATGCGTTGAAATCAGTGTACCGCATCTCTTCAATTAATTTGTAATCCCAGTGTACAGACCATATTACACAGGTGTCCTTTAACTAATCCTTACAGGCAAATCCCCTGAGCTGTTGGGGTATTGCCTTACAGTCTGCCACCTTCCATTTGTACCCTGTGGGATCCAGCTAGGCTGGTGGCTGGATAGATGCTCTCGTCATGGGCCTTACCATGCAAACAGAGGCACAGGCTCTGTTAATCTTCTAGGAAAGCCACTTCACAGAAACTGTGTTAGACTGGTCAAGAAATTCCATGATTCTAGTATTTTTATATAGTCAGTGCTACATAAAATGAACCAAAGGTATTTAGCCAGGTGTGCTGTGTCTTCTAAAGCAACACTCAGAATGTGACAGGTCCCCATCACTGCTGGTGTAACAGGACTCCCTGTGCCATGCTGCCAGGAGCTTTGTAGCACATTTTGCAGAAAACATGCAGGAAAATGATTCTGCTTTGACAAGCAGATAAGGTGCTGGCAAATGGTAGGGGAAGGACTGGAATCCAGAATCCAAATGGTTTGGGCTGGAAGGGACCTTAAAGCTCCTTCAGATCCAACCCCCTGCCATGGGCAGGAACACCTTCCACTAGAGCAGGTTGCTCCAAGCCCCATCCAACCTGGCCTTGAGCACTGCCAGGGATGGGGCAGCCACAGCTCCTCTGGGCACCCTCAGCAGGAAGAATTTCTTCCTAATGTCTAATCTCAGTCTCTGTCAAGTTAAAGCCATTCCCCCTTGTCCTGTCCCTGCATGTCCTTCTAAATAGTTCCTCTCCAGATTTGTTGTTGGCACCTTTAGGCAACAGGAGCTGTTCTAAGACCAGCCCACCTCTCTCAGCTTGGCTCCAGAGCAGAGCTGCTCCAGCCCTAGCAGCATCTCTGTGGCCTCCTGTTGACTCATCAACAACTCCATGTCCCTCTCATGTTGCTGCCCCCAGAGGCGGACACAGGATTGCAGGGGGGTCTCATGAGAGTAGGAGACAATCATCTCCCTTGACCTGCTGGACATGATCCTTTTGATGCAGCTCAGCACACGGTTGGTTTCTGGGCTGCGAGCACACACTGAAGCCAGTTTGTGTTGAGCTTCTCACCAACCAACACCCCAAAGTCCTTCTCCCCAGCGCTGCTCTCACCACTTTCTGCCCAGTCTGTAGCTGTGCTTGGGACTGCCCGATCCAGGTGTAGGATCTCATTTCTAAATGGGAGGTGAATCCAGATGACTAACATTCCCTATGCAATGCAAGGCACCCGCCCAAGCTACAAAGTGAAATGACAGGCCCACAAGTTGGCAAAAAGCATATTACCACCTGGAGAAACATACTCAAATGGGAATGCCTCAGCATGCTTAGCCTTTATAGAGCAAGTGCTTTCAAAACAGCTGTTTTTACATAGTCCCTATGTTATGGTATGCTAGTCAGGAGCAACTAAAATAGGTACAAGCATTATAACAGTCTCCTAAGCAATATTTGTTGTTCCTCAGTTGTAAATGAAGTTCTTGACCTGAATGGCCTGCTGCCTTGATAGTTTCCTTGAGGGTGATGACTGCTTGGCAGAAGCTATTAAAATCAAACTAGAGAGGAAGGGACAAACATGCAATCCAGCAAAGGCCATGAAGGTGATGGTTGTTTCAACCACACCAACTGGAAAAAGAACTATGCAAATTTTCAAGGCAATTTAAAAGAAATTATTTAACATACTGAAAATGATTAAGACAATTAAAGGATTGCAGCTAATGAGGCTGAGAGACCTGGGGGTGTCAGCCTGGAGAACAGAATGCTCAGGGAGGGGTCTTACCAATGATTGTAAATACCTGTGGGGAAGAGTAAAGATGACAGAGCCAGGTTCTTCTCAGTGGTGCCCAGTGGAAGGACAAGAGGCAATGGGCACGCACTGAAACACAGGAAATACTGTTTACATGTAAGAAAAAGCTTTCTTCACTGTGAGAATGGTTGAACAGAGTTGTGGAGTCTCCATCCTTGGTGATCTTCAAAACCTGGCTGCGTGCAGTCCCAGGCAATCTGCTCTCGTTGACCCTGCTGTGTGTGAAGCACCTGGGCTAGATGATCTCCAGAGATGGAGATGACCTTAACCCTTCTGTGATGGAACTTGATGATCTTAAGGTTCTTTCCAACCCTAACCATTCTATGATTCCATGAGCAAAGAATGGCTTTCTTAAACAGTTTAACTGAGGGGTTTAGGGTCTTTTATCAAAAGATGATTATTTTCTTAAAAAAAAAAATTAAATGATTATCCAGATTGGTATTGAGTGACATGCAACACAATCCAATTATAAAGAATTAGTGGTCCAGTGACCTAAGGAAGTTAAATACAACCTAATCTGCTTCAATGAAAAGACTGCCAGGGAGGAGGTGTGCCCAGGTGTCCTCTTGAAGTTATATGGGCTCTCAGCAGCTGCTGGTCTTTCTGAGGCCTTTGCTCCCTCTCTTTTTCCTGGCATGCTCCAGCTCTCTTGGCTGCTCCTGCAACACCTGTGTCTCTGAGAGCAGCTGCCGTGTGCTGTGGTGTATTTAATGGTAGCCACACAACCAAAGCAACTTGGCACTGCACACATCGGTTTGCTGTCCTCCCCACCCCACCTTGAATATGTGCATCTTAAAAGAGCTCAAATATGGAGAGGAAGTGGATTCTGAGGCTCTTTGAGGTCAAGAGGTAAGAGATTCTGTGTTTGCTGGCTATCAGGCAGTTGAACAAAAGCAGGGATTTGAATGTGGGTTTACTCTTGTCCCATTCTGTTGATGTTCCACCCATTGCTTTCTTCCTTCTCCAGGCTCAAAGATTTGAGAAACATTAGTATGGTATGGTCATACTGCCCATTCTCACAGCTTTGATGACCCCATGGATTGGTTAGGATGACTGGGAGTGCTCAAAGTTAACAGGGTGCTCTGCTGGGTCTCTAGGGGGAAAGCGAGAGATGGAGCCTCTTTGCAAGCTCTGCTTCCCTTAAGAAAGGTAATAGAATCTTTGCTGTTACTGCTTACAGCCAGGCAAGGTTAGGGGGAGGGACTGAGTAAGCTCTGATTGCTCTCCATAGCCACAACTTCTTTGGAGATGAGTAACAAATCAAAGCTGCAGCCAGGGAAGTGGTAGTTGATGAGCGTGAAGTGCTTGAGTTGGCTTTTTCTTGATGGATGTGAAGTGGTTGTTTTGGCTTTAGCTTGTCAGCTGTTTGATTCCCCATCAAACCTTTTCAGTGACCAAAAGCTGGAGCTGACCAAGCTCTGAGACACTGGCAGATCTCCACATCTCCCAGGTGGTTTCCTTGCTAGGTGGGCTGCAGCAGTGCAAGGCTGATGGTTTTAAATCACATGGTTTATGTTTTGTTTTGTGAAACCAGATAGCAGTGATTTCAGTGTTAAAGCTGACACGCACTGTCCCTTCTTGATTCACCCTTTCCCTGATGTGTGGGGCATTCATATAGGTTGGATCAGGTCTCACAAGCGCTGTTCATCCTGGCAGCTCTCCATGAATGTCAAGCTGAAGTTTGTATGTATTGTTTCCTTCTCAAATAGTTTGTCCAAGATGCCTTTGCTGTGGTCCTTTAGTATCTCCTTCTTTTGATATGTGTTTGCTCTTCAGACTTGTTCAAAAGTCATCTTGCTCAGTTTGCTGTGTTATTGTTGAGCACAAAGATGCTTGCTGGTCTTTAGTGAGTCTTTACTTCCAGCTCTCCCTTCTGTACGTAATACTCATTATTCTTCAAAAACTTTGCATTGCCTGGGCCTTTGGAGGATTTCTGGGATTCAAATTTGGATGTTGAGATAGAAGGGGAATGGATTTCAACAGTGTAAGTTTTGGGCTTTCCTTAGATGCAGCTTGCTTAAGCTGTTCCATTACAATAGACCCAAAATAGTCTCTTTTTCTGGATGTTCTTAATGGCTTGTGTGTACTTCAAGGTATGAAGGCAGGGCAGTTATTGTGTTTCCTCACTCAGACTGCCTCAAACTTTGCAACTGTTTGAATGTGCAGTTTGGGGCTGTATAGAAATTATGTGGATTTTGGGGTTTGTTGGGAATTTTTTGCTTATTCCTCAACCTGCTCCTGATGACGGGCAATTCTCTACCTGATTGACAGTATCAAGGCAGAATAGAAATCTCTTGTTGTAGTCAGTTAACCGCTGCATTGTTTGTATGTTCTGTACCTTCTGAGTGTTTTCCTCCCTAAGTAAATGTGCTCTCATGATCTCCTCTCTGTCAGTGTTGATATGAAGCAGTTCTGAGTAACCTTCAGCGTGTCCTTATCTTGACACAAGCTTATTGTTGTATTTTTCTTCCCCTGTCCGGCTAAGGAAGGCAGTGATAGAGTGGCTTTGGTGGGCACCTGGTGGCCAGCCAGGGTCAACCCACCACCCTGGCAGTTTGTTTGTTATATTTCAGATTCATAATCCCAGCACACACAGGCAATAGCACATGACTTCTTTGGAACAGCGAGTCTTTTGCAGTATCTTTATTTTAGGCTCTGCTGAACATATGAGTAAACCAGCAAAAGAAAGAAATTACAATGATGAGGTCAATCTCAGATAAATTGTCCTGAGAGCACCCACTTAAGTGAAATTGTCACTTGTGACAACTGTGTACATCTATGGGCACAGTGGGATGCGATCGATTAATGACTCCTTCAGCTCAGTGGGAGGTGGAGAAGCAGCTGCTTTTGATTTTTAGGCTTCTTGCACACTGATGCTCTCCACTGGGGAGTGGTAAACAGGAATAATCTGCCCGTCCTGCAGTTTCAAGGTGACATCCTGAAGGCACCAGCTGACACAAACCAAAAGAGATTTTTAACGTGTTTCAATCACTGTTAATAGAGTAAGTAAAGTCAGAGTACAAACAGCTGGCATGGAGAAACAAATAATTCCATGCATTCATTGCTTTTAAAGATTCTCTCAAGTGCTTTAAAACTTGGCTTGTGAGTGCCAGCTTCTGAAAGCTGTTTTCCCTAATAGCATAGCACAGCCCAGATTTAGAGCTCGGGGATGCGTGTTCTTATTGGATGCAATTTGGATAAAATCCTGCCAGCTATTTTTAGATAGGACATTCCTCCCCCGACCCTGTGCCTTTCTTCCTATCCATCCTGTGGGTGCATTCCTTGCTCCACTCCTCTCCAGCCTTGGAGCCAGACTGCGTTGCTAAGGAATTATCCTGGCTTGGAGGAGTTTGAACACTGTGTGATCACTCAGTGTGACTGCTGAAACCCTGACAGAGTATGACAGTGGTTACTCAAAGGAGAAGGAAAACTGTGTTGTTTGGAGACTGAGTGGGAGCCTTTTCTTTTCTCTAAGCCTTGCTTCAAACCCACTTCTGTGAGACTGCTCATGCTGCTTTTCCAGCTGGGAAGGACTATTATTTTGGGGCACTAAGATAGGATTTTTTTTTTCCAAAGCTCCTGGCGCTCACACAGTTCTGCTTTTGCTGGAATCAGTGCCGAGTACACACAACTGGGTAATGAGGCTGTGCAGTGGGTCTGCAACAGGGTTTTTTGCTCACCAACCCTCTGCCTCCATCTGACTTGGGAGAAGCAACTGCCTCTTTTATAACAGGGCTTGAAGGAGTAACTGCTCACTCCCCTCAGTCCGGCATGGAGTCCCAGCCCTTCCCTCCATTTGCTTCAGGGCAGACAAGTGTCATTTTGCAGGACTGGTGCCTTGGTCACTATTGCCTCGGGGCGCCTTCCCCATTCCTGTGCAGTGAATGCTTCCTCTCCTCTTCCAGATCCAAACCACCTCATACACTCCATATTTCCCTTTTTCCTCAGTTGTCCTCTTCTTTAACAACTACCTAAATAAATAAACCACTATGGACAGACTGTGCACTCAGACAGCAGCATTCAGTGGCTTAGGAGCCTCAACCCCTCTTGCACAGAGCAGTATGTTCACCACCTGCTGTCATTTGACTGTGTGCGTATCAGCCTGGCTGCCTCCCAGGTCTCCACTAGAAATGCCAACATGCCTGCCCTGCAGAGCCACACCAGGATGAGTTTGTTATTCCTACTGGGACTTCAGGAGCTCTTCTCCATGGACCAGATGGGAATGAGACATCTCACTCTTAGCTCCTCAGCAAGGACGCCAAGTCCTGCCTAGCTGTGTGGAGCTCTGCACGTGTAAGCAACATGGCTGAGTCTGATGGGTGTTTTTTTTATTCCCCTCCTTTTAAGCTTGCAGAAATGCATGGAGTGCTCACTGTAAAACAACACTCAGAGGTGTATGTACTTCAATTACTGCTGTAGTTTAACATCTTGTAATCTTCAGTTGTCTTCACAGTAACTCAGTAACGCAAGAGGGAACTGTTATTTCCCTCCATCTGTGAGGAAGGGATAAGGAGCAGTGAGGACATCAGAGCCCAGGCCCCAGGGAAGCATAGGTGTGCAAGAGAGGGGGCTGGGCACTTCTGGCAGTATCTCTGGTCACAGGGGAGAAGACCTGGCCCTGAGACTCTGAAGTCCCAGCCTAGCACCTTCTTCCCATCATTTTACACCTAATTTCCCATACTTATCCAGAAGAGAAGTCTATTAAGTAATGCTCATCTAATTATGAAAAGAAAACATTACCATATGGCTGGTGACAGCCGAGTAAAAATGTTGCAGCTTTGGGTTTCTAAATAGAGCTAACAGAAATGCCTAACAAATTCCAATAACAAGTACATGTGAACAGATTTGTGTCTAATAAACTCTTCTCTTTTGCAACAGAAGATGGACTTCGAATTCATGTAATTATTTGCTCAGTTCTAGAAATCAGTTTACCCTTGACAAAGGGGGTTTTCAGGCTTCAGCACTACAAAAATGTAAAGTTGCCACTCTATGATGTGGAATCAGACTATCCCTCTACTATAATGTATCTAACACATGCTTTGTTACTATAAGGACAGTATTTATCATATGGCTTGGAAAAAAAACCCACAGCCATCCTGCATGACTTTTAGCTCACCTTGATAGGCTTTGATATAATGGGTAATTTCCTTACTGCAATACATAATACTAGACTGGAGGTAGGATTGCTGTTCAATGGCTTCTGTGCCTCCTTGGGGACAATGTTACCTTGGCTCACAGTATTTGTATGTACACTGAGCTATAGTTTGCAGAACACGTTTCACGCAAATGAATGGCTTGTGTTGTTCCTTCTATTTGTATTCATGGGGATGAATTCAATGTAATTCTCAACTAATTTACATTTTTGCTGTAATGATGGTAATAACCTTTCACAAGATCTTCAGACATGAATTTCTGCTTCCTTTGTGTGCATGAGCTCAGCAACACGGATGACTAAAGCAATTATCCTGCTCCACTCTCTTCTCCTACAGTTTCTCTCCTGGTACCCCCCCACCAGTACGCACCATTGGCGGGAATGGTCCATCTCTGAGTTAATGTAGAGGTACCCCGCTGATTTTGTTCCAGATACTGGTAACTTTATCTGCAAATGTAAAAGTATGTCAAAGATTCAGTGGAGCATGTCATGAAATGGACACTTATTCCTTTTACAGTCAAAGATACAACACCTTCTTTTTACCTTAAACTCTAGTGTCATTTTTTTACTGTATTTCAGAGTTTCACTGTGTTTTCTAATGGCTAACATGTGCGTGGCTATACAAGTATGCCTGCTCTGCCATGCATTAATCTCTCTCTGCTGAAAGAATGTACTGTGTTACAGCTGCAACCCCCAGGGAAAACCACTTGCTCTCTGAAATATTTATGAGCAAACACCTTTCCTTACCAAAGTGCATGGTGATCCAGAGGTGACCTGCACTGTTAGAGCTTCCCATAACCACAATAAACCTGTAGGTTGAGAGCCTCTATAGATCAGCTCCTTGATGTTAATCAAGGCAATCGGGAGCTCAGTGACTTTTCTCGGTGTCACAAATTCTACTAATCTCTTGTTTAACAAAGTTAGAAGCTATAGGATTGACCACAGCTAATTGTACTTGGTCTAATCTTTGAATAAGAGAAAGGTTTCAGGTGTAATGTTTGCTGGTGGTATTGCAATCACAAAGAGAAAATGCCAGGGGTTCTCCAGCAGGCCCTGGAGCTGGGGATGTTCTGGAGTCAGTAAATCAGTCTATGATATAATCACTAATGATGATTAACCAGTTTATTTCACAAGAACATGAGTGCTCAGGAGTATGAAAAAGCAGAGAAGAAAGTTGGTGGTTCGTGTCTTGGGTGAGGTAGGCAGAAGGCAGGGTCTGACTTCACCCTGAGTCACCCAAGCAACCAGCATTCTTAAACAGTGACACAGGAGAACGTCAGTGGGACAGGTTCTTTTCTTTTCACTCAGCATAAGAGGTTGTGGGTTTTGCACATTTATGGGTTTAGAAATGTTTCCTGATAGAATCTTGAATACCTGGGAAACTGGGAAATGTTTTGGCTCGGGTATCATGTGGGTGAAGCCTGGCTGGAGTGAGATGGAAAGTGGAATTTTACATGGGTTGGTTTCAAGGTTGATTTTTTCTTGCCCTGACAGCCCCTCTTCTTTGCTGTACCATTTGCCCCATTCCTTAATGTCCTTGTTTGGTCCCCAGGACTCAAAACTACTCACCAGGAGGAACAAAATGAGGCAAATGTGACAAGATCCCCCAGTGAGGGACCTGAAGAGGTCACTAGGGATGTTCTGTGTCACCAGCAAAACTAGGGAAGTCCTGGATTAAGGGGTAAAAGCACTGATGGAAAAGGTCTTTTCAGGCAGCAAGCCAGAGTGGAAGTGGACCTGTGTTTGTGAGGTTTGCCTTGGCCCAGCCCTGGGCTGATGCAAGGCAGACTTGTGCAATACTTCAGAACCCAGCACAGCATTCTCCAGTCGCTATGTAACCCAAGTGCTCAGCCCTGGCAGCTGTGCTTCGTGGCATAGGCTTACGGTGCTTTTAAAAACCACCCCGTTTGTGCTGCACCACAGCGTAGCTCAGAGGCAGCTATAAAACTGTTCTGAACAAAGCTTTAAAAAATAGTGTGGGATGTATCCAGGAGGGAGAGGGAGGGGGAGGGGGAGGCAGCTGCTATTTTAAAGCTAGATCTGATATGTTTCTGAAAATGATTTTCTGGGTTACAGTAGCAGGAGGGGGATCGACTGACTTGGGAGGTCACTTGGCATTCTGTGATCTGCCCACAGAGCATAATATAAAGATGCTGCTCGTCCTGTATCTAGTCCCCCATACTGGAGCATAATTTATGCTCTAGAAACCTGTTCCTCTTCTAAATCAACTCACATCCCATCCTACTGCCTTCCAGTGTCCCCAGGTAACTCGTGACCTGCTGCAAATCCCCCAGTTGATCTCATCACCCAATGCCTTGGGAAGCCACCCTGTGACACCACCTCCCAGCATTACCTGTGCTCTTTCTGTGTCCACACGGTTACTCCCATCTGTCAGTCGGATGTTGTGAACCTTGAGAGGGGGGGCACCCAGGGCTTCCAGGGCATCAGGACTGCTATTCAGTTGCTCCAAAGCCTGCTGGTAGTACTGGGTCCTGGCAAAACCTTCTGGGTGGGAGAAACGGGGTTGTTAGGAGAAGTGTTCGCTTAAAATCCAAAAATAAGTAAAAATGACTTAAAAAAAGACATTTCCTCCAGACTATCCCACCCTTCCTGAAAAACAGTCCAAAACTATTAATTAAGAGAAATTTGGCTAAGGGAAGAAACACACCCTTACATCAGAGAAGCGGTGCTCAGCTCACTTAAGTGAAGAGGACTCTGAATATAGCCTGTTCTGTACTGATGCACAGTTCGGCTTGTGGCTGTGCCTCCCTGCTTTTCATACATTTGTATCTCATCTAAAAAGAACAGAAAAAGGGGGGTAAAATAAGGCAAAGGGTGAATAGGTGAAAATGTTCTGAAGGTAATTCAAGTTTTCTTTTCAAAGGAGATTCAGAAAATACTTTAAGAATGGAGAATATTTTGCAGACATTAGTGTGAGACTGGAACAGCTGCTAATACTGTGAAACTCTTGCTGTGGTCTTGATAACAGCTTTTCAAGTGGCAGCCAGGAAGCTGCAACTCTACTGATGGATGCATTAAAAGAGAGGCCATTAGAGAAGCACCATTAGAGTTAACGGTCAAGCAGCAACAATAGCTAAGTAGACTGGATGCTGCAGTGTTGGCATATGGAGGACAATTGTGGTAAATGGCTATTTATCAATGTCTGTTTGATATGTATAGCTGGGAAATGCTGTGCAATGGTCACCAATGGACAATGCTGAGCCGTGAGGCTGGAAACTTGCCGACCCTCCTTATGGAGGCAGAGATTTACTGATAAACAGATTTAAGGCTTGCCTGCTGGGATTTCTACATGCACTTTGCTGCAGCCTAACTTCACTCTCTTGAGATCAAGAAGGGCAGAGTTAACCCAAACATATCAAAATCCTACTCAGGCAACTTTGCTCTTGCCTTCCACAGAGTTTAAAACTAAGTGTAAGGTTTGTTTCCTGCTCTCTTGCCTGTATTACTCTTGGAGCATGAGGCAGAAGGATGCTGCCCCCACTCCCTAATTAGAGGCATTCCCTGTGAGCAGGCAGCATTCAGTTGGCATGGGAACAGCTTTACTAGCCTGCAGCCTGCACTGGTCCTCCCTGGTCCCCTAGGCTACCCTAAGGAGCTCCAGGTAAAGGGGTTGCAGCACAGGAGTCATTTAGTGCCTATGGATCATGGCAAGCAGCCATCCAGGAGATGTTAGAAGTATGCTGCACTCATCCTACAGGCTGAAGGGGAAACAGGTTTCAGTTTTCTGGTGCTCCTTCTCAGCTGTTTCTTGTTAGTACTGGACATAAAATGCTTGACTAATCTGTTTGTCCATGTGTGTTTCAGTAGGAGAGCTGAAACAATCCTGGGGTTGGCCTGGGAGACTGCTCCCACAAGGAGAGTGTGGAGGGGAACACAGTGAGTAGAAATAGGATTACCTGACTGCTTGCTTTCACAGAGATCACACATATACAAGCTTTCCTTCAACCTTAAGGGAGAGAAGTCCCCCTCTTCCCCTGCTCCCACCATAATGGAAGCCACTTACTCCTCACAGGCTCCAGCATGGGCCAGTTCTGTGCACTGGGTAGAAGGAATTGGATAGCCATGGGTGTGGGCCAATAAAAGTGTCCTTTGTCTGTTAGAAGCTACAGAGGTGCACAGTTTGCACTAGCAAGTGTCCTTTCAACAGCCTGGTTGGTTTGTATCAGACAGCTACTCAGTGGCCACGGACACCACAACAGAGCAAGACTTAGCTGTTGTTTTGCACCACTTGATAGCACAGCTAAGTGATCTGGGGAATGAGCCCTTTGACTTGTGTATAGTACAGGGGGTGACTTCCCCCTCGCCAGATAACAATGCTGAAGCTGAAAATTAAAAAATGCTAATGTCCTTGTTAAAGCCAGATTTGGTATTTTAAGCGTAAGAGGATCATATATCTGTCATGTACTCCAGAGCTTGAGGGCATGAGCTGCCTAAAATTAAAGCCTGCTTTCCAGCCTTGTCTGATTTGCTATTAATAAGTGTAAAATGAAGGGGAGGTTTCAGAGCTTATCTGAGGGCTTGAGGAACAGGCTTGGCTATGCTTTTCTGGCAGCAGGGGTACCTGACCTACCTGATACAGGGGTAGGTCAAAAGCAGTATCATTTGATAGCTCCAGCAAGAGAGAGGCATAGGGCTGAGAGGCATGTAGCACCCCATTGCTGGTCTGATGCTAAATATCTAGAAACAATTCTAGATAAAATAAGAATCTGTCATTTGGACTAATAACTCGGATTCATGGTCTAAGACGCACAGCAACTAGAGCTGTCTATATATAGCAACGTTGCCTGTCTAGCTTTTCTTTCCTTGTCCTAGTCTTCTTGATACTGAGCGCTCTTATCTGCCCTTCAATCAGGGGAAACTAATGGTGTCTTAGCACTTCACAGGCATGCTGTGTTTAGGGCCTGCCCCACAGAGATTTACAGATAAAACCACTAGACATTAATACCTTCTCACAGACGGTCCTCTCTTCCTCCCCAGTTGTAAAATCTCAGTAAGAAATGAAACCTGCATTACTGCCTAAGCATCTATTTTGCCCTCACCCTCAGAAACCAGACTTTCTCCTAACCATGACAGCCTCCTCCCTAAGCAATACCTCTGGAAATGTGTGCAACAGCACTGGGGAGAGCAGCAGCTCTGAAGCTGAACAAAGCGGAGTCCACAGAAGCAGAACCCAGAGTCTCAGCCACACTTCCCTTCACTTCATCTGCTTTTCATGTCTTGCATGCTGCTATTTTCCCCGCTACACAAAAGCAAATGAAAGGGGCAGAGGAGAAATAAGGTTGCTAACAGCAGCAAGGCTTACTTTGCATAAGATTATACATCACGATGCATCCCCCGCCGCTGAACAGTCCCATGAAAATAGCCATTTGCTGCAGTTTTCTTAGAGAAGCTGGCATTTTTCTTCCCTGAAAAGAAAAAAAGGAAGACATTTGTTGTAAAAGAAGAAAGCTAAAGGGTTATCCCTCCCCCTTCCTCCTCTTTCCTAAAAGCCCTTTCCAACCAGGCCTGAATGAAAGCACAGTACATCGGGCTCTTCCTCACTGGGGCCCCACCGTGTGCCCAGAAGGAAGGGTGGTGAGAACAGAGCAAAGCAGGGACCTAGCCGGGTTGAATGTGTTTATTCAACTTCTTTTAGTGATGCCACCACTTTGCTAATTGCCGAGAAGAGAATGACCTCCCTGGTGTGGCCAGGGGCCAGAGCCACATTGTCACGGGGGCTCCGGGTGCCTGTGCGCTCGCTCGCACACTGTGAGCATTCAGGCTTCGGGGAATGGATTTCTCTCTCGAGTAAACTCCTCCCAAGTAAACACGCTCGCGGCAGGGCTGGATTTGGCCTGGAGGGGAGAGGGACAGAGCCAAGCCAGTGCTGTGCCAGCGAAGATAATGGAGCCAGGGTGTGTATATTCTGTTGTGCTGTTTTTATTCCCAAGCCATGGGTAAACAGGAAGGATTTTGCAAGCTATTTCTCTTCCTTCCTGCACCCCCCCAGCCCCAGCTTGCCCTTTTAATGAATCACAATTTTGGCATTTGAATGCATGACCCAGCAGAGTAAGAAACACTTCTGAGAAAGTCAGCCTACGATGTGTTTCCATGGATTGGGTGGGAAGGCTCAGGAAAGACATGGGGGAATGGCTTTAACCTGACAGGGGTGGTTTAGATTAGATATAAGGAAGAAATTTTTCACTAGACACTGGCACAGGTTGCCCAGAGAAGCCATGGCTGTCCCATCCCCAGCACTGTTCAAGGCCAGGCTGGACAGGGCTTGGAGCAACCTCTCTAGTGGAAGGTGTCCCTGCCCATGGCAGGGGTTGGAACTGGATGAGCTTTAAGGTCCTGTCCAACCCAAAACATTCTACAAAGGAGACTCTGTGGCCTGATGATCCTGAGCTAACGGTCCTGCCCACAACAGGTTAGTAGGAGTTGAGCTGAGTTCTTAGTGGAGAGTAGCATGTTGCTTCAGGCTGTGGCAGGATGGGACTTGACCAAGCATCAGAGTATCGACTTAATGCTGTTGCTTGTCTCACAGCTAGGATGTCAGGGAGGAATAGTCCTGACAACAGTTTAAAAATAAATAAATAAAGGAAAGAAAGAAAAGCTAGCAAAAGGCTGCCCTTTTTGATGTAGGCATGCAGACAGCTGAACACCTGGGGAAGCTGTAGGTTTCTAATCCCAAAGGCTTCATGCCTCAGTGCCACAATGGTGTGTCTTAAGTGTTGCACTCAGTGAGAGCTGGTTAACAAACCAAGGCCCAAACCAGTTACAGAAATGTAACCTGGGCAAGGCTGTTTGAGTCCTGTTGTGAAAACCTCTTCTAGCATCCCTCAGGTATGTGTTAGTCAGGTATTGCTCAGCTGACAACCACAGTTTAGAGAGCATGGAGACGTAAATGTCAGGACTGTTTCCCACCATGGACAGGTCAGGGTGATATGGGCAGCCTCCTCTTCTCATTACTCTTGTGACATGCCCATCTCCTGCATCCTCTAGCCCAAGGGAAACCATGAATGCAACTCAGGTCCAACTTTCATCTACTACTCTATCAGCACTAGTATTCAACTGTAATGTATGCTTCTCCTTAGTTGAAGGCTTTCCTTATTAACTAGCTCACTTGACTGTAAGAGCTCTTAATGTTTAAGTTTACTCTTTAACTTACTTCACATTTCTGGATGGCTAGTAATGGTAGTAACTCAGAGAAGCATGTGGGCATTATATGTGCTTTATGCTCCAAAATCCCCAAATTGTGCCACTGGTACAGCCATCTCTCACTCCTGATCTGCATCTCTGAGTTTTCTTTTTCACTTCCCCTGGGGAACTTGAGCAGTGTGAGAAGTTGCAGCAGAGGAAGTACAAGTGTGTCTTTGAAGAGAAATGGTATCGGTGGTTTTACAAGCACAGCAAGAGCTCTCTGCTAGCCCACTTGTGTTTGCAACCTTCCTTAGATTGCAATTCATAACATTATTTCTCCCCCTCAAACTGCAAAATCTGATTAATAACCAAGTTTCCATAAGATATAGCCAGGCAGGATCCGACACCAACAGAGCATAACAGGGAGGGGGAAAAGGAGGTAAATCTGGAGGGTGGATCAGGTATTTAGTTTTGCCCCTTTCAAAGTGTCAGCCAGGCAAAATTTGCTCTGTGATGAAATTCAGGGTAATTAAACTCAAATGTCTGAGGGTAGAAGATGCTGCTGACAGGTTGAATAAAAGTGGGAAGATGTGGAGCTCTTGCACCAGTGAGGAAGTTTTGACCAAGGCTCAGGGGATCTCCTTAGCAAAGGGTGGAAATCAGAAGCTCTGCAACTCACTGTTAGGGGTTTGAGGTTTGATAGGTCTTGCAGTCTGCTCACACCCGAACAAGGGGAATAGAAAGAGAAGCTTTGTGCTGATGAGTAATGTGCTCACACGCTCATCACCAGCTCCGCTCACAGCAGGTCAGGGGCCACAAGTGCCCTGATGGTGCTGTGCCAAGGCAGTGCCATCTGGCAAGGAAGCTTAGCAGCAGAGAAGTGGTGATTCCAGCAAGCACTACTGCCTCATGCAGCACTCCTGGCTGCTCCTGATGCGCTGACCCTGCCTGCAGTTGTCACTTCTGCTGGCCCTGCTAAGGCAGGGATGTGGGGGGCTGAGGTGCACAGCACACACTAGCTCTGCGAAGGTCCTAATTGATGTAACAGGGAGAAGATCTCTGTTGCTTGCTTTCAGTCACAGTGGGAAACCTGCAGGCTGGACCATCCCATCCCCAGGCTAGCCCTTCATGCTCTCCTCCCACTTGTTTCTCAGCTCTTTTCCCAAGCCAGTCCCATGACAGCACATTGCGGGAAGAGGTTCAGAGCTACGCGTTTTAACAAGTCTCTCAAGACCTTGCAAACCTTCTCTTTGATCCCACAGTTCCCTGTTAGCTTCCAAAAGCAAGGACAGAGGTGTCTTTGGAATCCAGTGCCTCTCTGTGAGGGGGCTGCTGCTCCCCTCCCCTGCTGTTATGGTCCCTTGCTGCATGAATGTCCAGGTGGTGCATCCAAACCTTTGAGCATCTCAGCATGCAGTTACTGATGATTTCTGAATGATGACACTGGAGATACTCATGGTGCCAGCTTGTGTAAGACTGAAATACAGTAAGGAGCTGTTTTTGGCAAGGACTCATAGCAAGGATTTCTGCCCTTTTGCCAACCATGTTAGCTGCTCCCATCTGCTGCTCTGGTGAAGTGTGGTAGAGCAGAGAAGGGAAGGAAAGCAGAGGCATGCCCAGAGGTGCACCTCCTGTCCTGATCCTTTCTGAAAGCAATTTACAGCCTGCAAAGTGTAGAGGCTGTTAAAGGAAAGGACCAAACCCCCTCAACTTCACTTGCTACAAAGGGAGTAGCTGTAAGAGAATGCATTTAGGAGAATCTTATAGATACAACATGCACTTGCTTCCTGAGAAGGGAAAGTTCATGTTGTTATCTGTGGCGGAGATCTCCCCTCAGAACCTGTTATACCACTAAAAAGTATGCAAGTCAACTAGTGGAAAAACGGATTTCTTCACAGCTGGTAATTAAAAAAGCACAATTTCCAAGCTAGGCTGTTCTTCCAAAACATCTTTTCCCTTGTGCTATTTGCAGTGGTCAACAATTAAGTGGAGATTAGCACACACAAAATCACCGAGCCTACACTTACCAAGAGATATTAAATCATAGTAAGTTAGTGCTCTCTAAAAATGAGTATTAAGGAGCAGAGCTCTCTAACAAGTGCAGTGTTCATTTTGAGCCTTGAAAATAGTAAGAAATGATGGAGGAGGTAGTATATGATTCACACTTGACTCTGAAATTAAGCAGGACTCAGGTAGTTAATAACAAGATTTAACAAACTCAGAGAAGTGGAAGACTCCCAGGGTCACATGTGAAATGGTGGGTTACTGCAACAATGAAGTCTGGTTTTAATTAGACTTGTTTTCTCCACAGAGGATCTTCTAAAAACAGGCTGGGTTTATGAGATTCTCCCTTATTTCCGCAAATTCGGATTTTCTGGTTTGCTCTCTGAAATTCATGTTGTAGAGGTTTGTCTTGGGTACATCCACCAAAAGCAGGTAGCATGAAGCAAAGGGCATTTTCACCAAGCCACAGACATTCATTTTATTTCCCTCAGACCTAAGTGAAGGATCTGGGACTGCAGGTTCTATGGAGAAGATGTTTCTTCCTCCTCCTCCTTTTCCTTCTCCTCATCCTGGCACTACCATGCTCCACCAGCACATCCGGCTTCTGGGTGCTATCACAGGCCAAATAGTAAGCAATAATACAGTTCTGAAGTCAGAGAAGCAACTTGATCCATGCAAACTCAGTGTGATCACTGCTTGCTATCTCAATTTGGGCCACTGCCTACCTACCTGGCCAAGACGATGTATTGCCAGGCCACCAATACAAGCAGCTGGGAGCCTTCAAACCACTTTGAACCACTGTGGTCCTGAGATGTTTGCATGACACACTAAATATGTGTGGCAAGAGACAACTATTAAATTATACTTTTTATCAATAGGCCTGAACATGGACTTGAGCATCTGACTTCAAGGCTGGAACTGATGCCTAACTCTTCTGCAAATAAACTCTCCCTTGGGCTGGTGGGATTTGAGTCAGCCCCAGGTTCAGCTTTTCTGCAAGCCACCCAGGCAGTCATGGAAGTACAGGAGACGAGGGTAATGTCAGGCAAACCACGCACAAGCACACACCTGCATTTCACATTCTTGCTCCCTTGCCCATCCATTGATCTTGAAAGATCCATAAGGCATCTGGGTGTAAGCCAATTTCTATACTAACAACATGCCAGGACAACATTTTAGAGACAGCTTCTTGATAATCACTGTCTACAAAATACCTTCATCATCAGTATTGTCACCAAAGGAAGGACAGTACAGAAGAAGTGTTTCAACAGGAC